TCATCTATTGTCTAAATACAGCCTTTCTTTCTGTGGATTCTTCAATGTGAACCAGCTAGACAAATAACTAAGATATTGGAAGGAAGTGATAAATGACAAAGGGGAAAAATAAATCATTATATTTTTTTCTATAGAAAAAATGCAAGGGTAACCCAGGCTTAAAACTTTAATTAAAGGCAATTACATCAGTGTCATAATTTACTGAAAAGACTTTACTAGTAATTGCTTGCTAAACTCCAAGATAATCTGACATAGCAGGTCAGGCATAACATCCTACACCATGTGCAAGTAAATTTTCTTACCAATGCAAGCTTGCTTGGTAGGAGTTCTTTGGAAACCTGCATGACATTTGCAATAATAGGATCCAGGTGTGTTGACACAATCACCATTAGTACATGGGTTTGATGTGCACTCATCAACATCTGTTGGCAGCAGAGGAGATGCCCATTAGAGACTTCACACTATTATATATTCAGTAATTCTTCTTTCAGGTATACCATTTCATGATTGAAGAAATAAGGTAATTAACAGTGAAATGCTTAAGCTTGAAACCTATGTTCATTACCAAATTATTTCCCCAAACACACAAACCTATACTAACTGTAATTATGAAACTCCATTTTCAAAAAACAAAAGAATACAGATAACATGTTTTTTGAAAGAGAAGGGAAAAAAAGCTGAGGAATTTGAGACAAGGGATCTGACCACTAGTTAACAGACGTGAAAAATCCTTTGTTTAGTTTTGTATTCACTTATTAAACAGAACAATCACCTGTTCTCTTTCTTCAGAATAATCAGAATCTACAAAACAAATCTACAGGGCAACAAGCAAGTTTTAAACACTTAAAAGCACAGCTTACCACAGTGCCTATAAAACGAAATTCAGATTATAGCTTTAAAACAATGACTGTATTGTGAAAGTGTCAGACGGGGGTTTGCAGGGGGTGTCACACAGCAAGAGGAATTACTTGAAATTCCTCTACGGAGACTGCAGTGCCTTATAGACTTCATAGATTTCATAGACATTAGGGGCTGGAAGACCTTGGACCTTGCAAGATCGAGTCCAGCCCCCCTGCCATAGGCAGGAAGTCTGCTGGGGTCAAGTGATCTCAGCAAGATAAACATTCAAACACCTTTCGAATGAATCCAGAATAGGTGCTTGTACCACCTGTGAGGGAGTCTATTCCAGACCCTGGACACTCAGACTGTAAAGAAGTTTTTCTACATATGATGAAGTGAACTTGGGTTAACAAAATCTTGTGCTCTCTATGTAATTTATTTAGTCTATAACGGTGCATATCTACCCTGCCTTATGTATACCATACCCCAGTTATTTATCATGGAATCATAGAAAATTAGGGTTAGAAGGGACCTCAGGAAGTCATATAGCCCAACCCCCTGCTCAATGCAGGACCATCCCTAATTATATCTCAGAGAAGGTTTTGTCTAGCCAGGTCTTAAAAACCTCCAAAGATGGAAGTTGCACAACCTCACTGGGTAACCTGTTCCAGTGCTTTACTACTCTCCTCATGACAAAGTTTTTTTCCTAATATCTATCCTAAACATCCCCTGCAGCAACTTAAGACCACCATTCCCTGTTCTGTGATCAGCCACCACTGAGAACAGTCTAGTTCCATCTGCTTTGGATCCCCATTTAGGGTACTGAGTATTAAATCCCTCAGGGACTGAGTATTAAATCCCCACTCAGTCTTCTCTTCTCCAAACTAAATAAACCCAGTTCCTTCAGCTTCTCCTCAGAAGTCATGTGCCCCAGCCTCCTCCCCATTTCTGTTGCCCTCCACTATTGGTCCACATCATTTCTGTAGTGGGGAGCCCAAAACTAAACTTCAGATGTGGCGTCACCAGTGCTGAATAGAGGGGAAGAATCACTTCCCTCGATCTCCTGGCAATACTCCTACTAATGCAGCCCAGTATCCCATTAGCCTTCTTCACAACAAGGGCACACTGTTGGCTCATATTCAGCTTACAGTCCACTGTAACCCTCAGGTCCTTTGCTGTAGAACTGCTGCTTAGCTAGTCAGTCCCCAACCTGTAGCAGTCCATGGGATTGTTCTGTCCTAAATTCAGGACTTTGCACTTGTCCTCATTGAACTTCATGAGATTTCTTTTGATCCATCCTCCAATTTATCTAGGTCTCTCTGAATCCTAGACTTAACCTCCAGTGTATCTACTTACCCCCCAGATTGTTGTCATCTACAAACTTGCTGAGGGTTCACTCCATCCCATCTTCCAGGTTACTGATGAAGATATTGAACAAAACCAGCCCCAGGCCCAACTCCTGGGGCTGCCAACTAGATGTCAAGTCATTAATTACTACCCTTTGAGCGCGACGATCCAGTCACTGTTCTATCCACCTTATAGTTCATTCATCCGATCTATGCTTCCTTAGCTTGCTTGGAAAAATGTTGTTGGACATCGTATCAAAGTCAAGTATTCAGATTGTAGTCACATTGGTTTAGAGGCAAAAGCAATCAGGACTCATGGAAGAAGTGATATTTGCAATTAAAGCAATTTTTTTGCAAAAAACTAGTTGGTCTAATAAAAAAAATATTACCTCTACCATAAGTCCTGACTACTTTTGCTATAGTCAAGGAATATCATGTCCCCTGGTCTCCCTGCATCCACAGAGCCAGTCTATTTGTCAAAAGGCGATCAGTTTGGTCAGAAATTACTTGCCCTTGGTGAATCCATGCTGACTGTTCCTAATCACCTTTTTCTCCTCCAAGTGCTTAGAAATTAATTCCTTGAAGACTTGCTCCATGATCTTTCCAAGGACTGAAGTGAAGCTGACCAGTCTGTAGTTCCCTGGAAACTCCTTCTTCCCTTTCTTAAAGATGGCACTATATTTGCCCTTTTCCAATTGTTGAGGACCTCTCCCAATCACCATGTGTTTTCAAAGATAATGGCCAGTGGAACTGCATTACCATCAGCCAACCCCCTCAGCACCCTTGGGTGTATTGAGTCCAGCACCATAGACTTACACATGGCCAGCTTTTCTAAATAGTCCCTAATCTGTTCTTTCGCCACTGTCAGCTGCTCACCTTCTCCCAAAACCATGCTACCAGGTGCAGTAGTCTGAGAGCTGACCTTGCCTGTGAAGACTGAGGCAAAAATGGCATCAAGTACTTCAGCCTTTTACACATCATCTGTCACTAGGCTGCCTTCCGCAGTCAGTAAGGAACCTGCACTTTCCCTGATCTTCCTCTTGTTTCTGTCATACTTATAGAAAGCCTTCTTGAAACCCTTCAGATCCCTTGCTAGCTGCAACTCCAACTGCACTTTGGCCTTCCTGATTTCATCCTTGCATGCCTGAGCAATATTCTTATACTCCTCACTAGTCATTTGCCCAATTTTTCACTTCGTGTAAGCTTCCTTTTTGTGTTTAAGCTTACTGAATAGTTACCTGCTAAGCCCAGCTGGTCTTATGCCATACTAGCTAGTCTTCCCGCATGTCAGGGTTGTTTGTTCCTTCACCTTCAGTAAGGTTTCTTTAAAATACGACCAGCTCTTCTAGACTCCCTTCCCCCTCGGACTGGTCTTGGTGCATCTTTTACACCCACTTTCACATCTTTATGGCTCAGTACAGACATTCAAAACCCAAGGCAGAACTGATCTAAGTTACACAGTTTTCTACAAGCAGTGTAGTTTAGATTCGTAGAACACACATTTGCCCTTTGGTGGGGTGGGGGGGCAAATCTTAGACCAGGTTCCATCATTTTTAAACCAGTCTATAGGCACATTTACACATGCATCTTGACTGCGCAGTAAGCGAAAGTACTACACAATTCGGGCATGCGTATAAACATGTACACCAATACTGTACTGTACAGTAAATATGGTGACTTATGCCAACGTTAGGGTAAATTTGATACCTGCATTATGGTATCAAATTTATGACTGATTAGTTACTGCACAGTAATGCACTTGTAGACGCCTTACTGTGCAGTAACACTGTATGTGTGGGCTAACTTGGGACTAACTTTAGTCCCAAGTCAGTCCACATACAGAGTTAATGCTCTTTAACACCTGCATGTGTAGATGCCAGCCTATTCCCACTTACTGTACAGTAGCTTACTGCGCAGTAAATTTAAGTGGGTATAAATGCACATACAGACATGCACTATGTGTGCTGAACTTCTATTTTGTTATGGGCATAGACCAGTTTCCAATCACTTACACCAGTAAAAGTGTAATGTCTGTACCTGTCCTATGTGGCCAGAGACCAACTGGCACCTTTATGGGGCCAGAAGCAACCTGAAATGTAGTTTTCTTTCCAAAGATTTTCAAACTTTTTTTAATTTAAGGTCTGATTTAAAAGTTCAGTTCAATTCAGTTCTTTATACTTTGGAAGTAACTGGCTGGCCTGAGAAATGCAGTCCACAATCATGTTTCTTCAATTCCACTTTGTAGCTGCATATGCTACTACTCTTCCACAATATGAAAATACAAATGGCCTGAGACTGGAAAATGGCAAACACTGGTTTTGCTATGAGATATATTACAAGTAAGATCCCTCATATAATGGGATATACAGGTGAATGAAGTCATTGTTACAAACAATACAAATAATGTTTAAATATGTTTCTTACAGATTTTGAGATATTCAGTATGACACTGTAGCAAGCTGATCTGTAAGAGAACTAGGAGCTAGATTCAGTGACGGTTCTCTGGTAAAGAGTGAAGCAAATAAAAAGAAAAAAATGGAAGAATCAAACAGCGCTTCTTATGCAAAAGCTATTTAGTTCTTTAAGAAACACTCACAGTTGAATGTGCAGTTCATAGCATCACTTCAATAAAGCCAAAAGTATGAAGCAAAAATGAAGAAAAGAGAAATTGAAAGAGTTAAAAAGAATGCAGAAATAGTATTTATTTTTTAGCGTGGCTACTTGTATATGTTCATAAAGCCATTTGTTATCCTTTAACAGAATTTTATGCATTTATATTAGCTCCATATTCCCAAGCAGCTCGACAATTCTTGGCCATAGAGAATATTTTATTCTTATGAACAGCAGATCAATCCTCCGGATATTTTGGCTGCATGCTCAGTCAGTATGGCGTGCCCAAAAGGGCTGTACATAATTTCTTCAGAACAAAGCCCATCAAGTAGATCTACTGATAGTGTATCAAACTCTAAATCATATTTTCTCAAGAATGTTGTGTCTAACATCCTAATCCCAAAGACTTCTATTATATATTTTTCTTGCCTAAGCATTAGAGAACAGAAGGAATTTATAAATAATAGACCCTATACTTCTCTAACTTGTTAAGGTTTCCAGTAGAGCAAAGTGATAATTATGCTCTAGGATACACTTCTAGGTAAATTCATAGCTGCTTAACCATGAAGGAAATAAGTCTATTCTGCTAGGGGCTCTCACTGGAAATGAATTTATGAACTCTAAAGAAGAATGCGATGTCCCTCTATATCAAATAACTGATATAGGATTTAGAAAATGCGTTATAATCCAGGTGTGCCAGAAGATTCCCTGTATTTGCATGTGAATCTTGGCTTCCACCACATTATTATAGGTTGGCGATAAAAGAGAATAAAGATAAACATATTCCAATAAAAATAGTTGTTAACCTTGACTTTAGATTGCTAGGGTGCATGTCCCATCCAAAGAAAGAGAAGCACTTAATCTATCCATTCCCTTTTTCAGGCTCAACTATCTCCATTTTTCAGTGTTTTACTCATCATAGTTAGCATAAACTTGACGAAACTTGGCATGGAAAGTTCAACTGTTCTATTAAGACTTACTACTTTAAGTCTGAAAACAAAATTCAAAAGGTTAGAGGACACTTACGCCCCTTTTAAATACAAATCTTGATACAATCACAATATCACACTGCTGCTGGTCCTCCTTAGTATTACATTTTTTTCCACCTTTTATCCAAAATCTTTTTTCACAAAAACAGTGGTAATAAGGAAGGGTAGATAGTATACAGGCCTCCTATCACTTCAGGAAGAGGAACTGATGACTTACAAAACAGCTCAGTATTAAAACCCTTAGGACAGCAGTGGTTTATATCTGTCCATCATCGGGAAGTGTTTCTGGGAAACAGTGTATAATCCTACTTTTGGTCTGAAAGGACCATTTGGAATAAGTCACTTTCTTTTTTTGCCCTACCCATAAAAATTCTTTAATTATTTCTGAATTCTTAAAATATCCTTTGGGGTTTTCTCTCAGTATGGAACCAAAGAGATACAACAGTCTGCATTGTTCATTTATATGTTATTAACCCTACCCCGTATGGTGAAATGTGACTGTTCCCAATGCCGCAAGCCTGTTCTTTCACTAACCAGAACAGAATCCAAATTGGATTAAAATTAGTCCTTTAGCTTAATTTAATTTAATATATCATATACAGATATTTTATACAGTTAAGTTTTCCAAGGTCAGATTCCGTTCTGATCAATGTTACTGATGCTCAACCTTCAAGCCCTAAAGGCCAGGTAAGTGGAGTGGGGCTAGTCTGTTGGCTATGGAGCAGCCTCATTCATGCCACATCTGATCCCACGCACTGCAGCGACTGGGCACCCACCAGAGCCAGTCCCACACACTGGCACAACCCTGAGCACAGCAACATATCATCTGACCTGTGGGGCCCCCCATGGGTCCAGAAATTTAACAGCAGGGTAGCATTAATTGCCATGGCTTCCAGAGCTGCCAAATTTACAGACCTATGGGGAGGCCCCACAGTCCCACAGGTTGAATCTGGTCTGTGGGCCAGAGATTGTGCATCACTGATCTACAAAAATTGCCATTCACAGCACACACGCTAATATGGCACTTAAGATACTGTGATTATTTCTCTATACTTCAAAGAGAAAATTATAGTGAGATCTCAGAACTCGCCTTGCTAAGTGCTAAGTTCTTATAGCAATTGCAATACATGCTGTAAAACAGGGTGGTTCAAAGTACAAACCAGAGCACATGTCTACACAAGACATTTACTGCGTGGTAAATTAATTAGCTGCCCAGTAAAAATGTCACATGTTTATACCTGCACTGCAGTGCTATTAGGCAGCAGTAAACTAATTTACTCCAAAGGAGGACAGTACTTGTAAACACAAGTGTTATCCAGCTATGGAGTTTTTTTTTACTTCGCAGCAGCACACATGTAGACACTGCCCTGGCTGGCTGAGGCACAAGGGTAACCTCACATTGAAGCACCCTAATGCCCCAGCCAGTACCTTCACAGCACGCTGAGCTGGGCTGGAGCAGTCCTGGGATGGCAGGCTGATTCCCCAGGCCCCTGCCAGCTGGGGCTGCTCTGTCCCAGCTCAACTAGCTATGGTCCTGGGTGCATATGTAGAAGGCATGCCTAGGAGCAATAAACTCATGCACATTAATATGCACATGTAGATGCACCCAGTAGATATGAAGCCTAATTTAGTAATGGTAGATATTCAACACCCACAAGAGAGAGGACTGATCCCATAGAAGTTCCTTTTAGCAACCTAATCTTTCTTAATTTTTCACTTTCTGATTGCGAGAGAGATTCTGATTATGTACAGACATTATATTTCCACCGGGAGAATCAACATTCTCCTAGATAGAAACTACAAGCATATAGACATTCATCAAGTCTGTCCCACAGGAAAAATGCTTCCTGAAGGAGAAAGTTCTTCCCCTTTCAAAGAGGAAGATTTCTCCAACAGGAAAGAATACCTATCATTTGCTTCCTCCTGGGGACCAGGAGGAGTTGAGTGGTGGTCTTCCCTGTCTAGGGAAGGTGTAGCAGGCACTACCCCTCTGTTCCTGGGAGGGGAGGAGCAGCTGCTCACTGCTCCCTGCCTGATCCCCAGACTGAGATCCCACATCTGAGTAGGGGATGAGGGGGCTTCCCCACTGTTCCCTAGACCAGTGGTCCCCACTCTGAGGAATGGGCAGAGGGCTTTGCCCCACTGCTCTTCCTCCAAAACAGACCAGCCTGGGAGTGGAGCACAAAAATGTTCTCCCCGCATTTCTTAAGCCATGTGATCCCAAGGTTTGGGGAAGAGACAGGGAACAGCAATAGCTGTTTCCCTTACCTCTTGGACTGGTCATGCCACACTGCTCCTTCTGCTCTGCTCCTGGAGACCAGGAGTAGAGCAGAGGAGGCTCCTCCCCTGACTAGATCCTAGTCTGGGGAAGCACAAGGAATCTTTCTCCATTACTCCACTTCCTCCAGGATCAGAAAGTGTAAAGCGCTCACTGCTCCCCACACTTCCCCTGGACTGGGATCACACTGGTCTGGTGAATGTATGGAGAGCAGGGAAGGACGGGTGGCTGCAGGCCAAATGCCTGTAAAATCCCTCTCCAGGAAAGATGTCTAGTGATGGAAATTTCTCAGAAACTAATCGTGTGATTAGTTTGTGTTGATGTATACTGCAGCCTAAATAAGCCCTTTAATTCTATTCAACTCTGAAACAGCTGTGCTTTTAGATTTTTTGTAACTATGAAACTGTGTTTTACTTTTAAGAGTAAGCAAAAAACATTTATAAATATAGAAATATATATAATATATCCTATATATAGGAAATATTTAGAAAGAACTGCACTATGTTTTCAACTGTGCAGGATCAAGTGCTAAATGACTCCCACCCCCCCACCCAGATGATCCACAAGAGTATGAGAACAAAAATGTGTTTATATTGTTAGTTGCTACAAGTAGAGTCCTAAGATCCAAAGGCCTACAAATCATGCCTAGATTTAACTTCCACTGGAAGAGAATGTATTCTTACAAATTTCTCAGCCAAGTGTGGTAAGTGGGAAGTTCCATGAGCCTCCCACTATATACTTCCCTGGACCTTTATTTCTAAATCCTAATGATACCATCAAGGTTGCTCTAAAAGCACCTTGCCAATCAGGACAATTGCTGTTGGGTACAAGCTTACTATTCAACAAGCACATGTATATATAACACACAACTTTAAAAATTAAAAGTTGTACTCTTTATAGCAATTATGGATCAAAAGCTTGTTTTAAATACTTCAATATTACAGCATCATAAAAAAAAAATCTGACTCCAATTCCTGACCTAAAAATATTCTGTTGAAGAGAGGTAAAAAAAGATTTAAAATCTCATGTTTTAAGGACATATGTCTGAAAGTGAAAAATATAAAAACAATCAGAATGTGAATATGACAAGGTAGAAATATGCACTTACCTATACAATCTCCATTTGCATCCTGCTTATATCCCATGTTGCATTCACACCGATAACTAGAAATGGTTGGTATGCATCGCCCATTTAAGCAAAGGTTGGGGTGATGCTTACAGACATCTATTGTCTGATTGAGTATTGCTGAAAGAAATTACAGAACATGAGACAATTTTGACATACAAATGGAGTTGAGAGGTCATGTTAAGTTATTTTATCAGTTCTATAATCAAATGTGTAAGTTTAGCTATTTTTTCAAGCTTTAAAGAGAAAGTATTTCAAAGAACGATTGATTGATGTGGTTGTGAAGATACTTAAAAAACAACACAAATATATTAGACAAATGGTCTGCATTATGATTCAGCATTTATATCAAAGATCTCATGAGAAAGAAACCACTGGGTTTGGATCTATGCCAACTGGGGTCAACATTTTGGCAGTCATGTCACTGATTATCTCGGCACCTTCTCCATGTGCCACTCCAATCCCCTTCCTTTGGCTGATCTGCTGCTTTGTTTTCTGCTCCCTGCCCAATTTGATACTCTGCTTTCCGCTCTGTCTACTGCTGTTCCGTGTGTCCCCTTCCTGATCTGCCATATGCCACACACAGAGCCATGCTGTTAGGGTAGATTGTCATACTTTATGCTTTAAAGTTGCACCTGTTTATAGAGTGTTGAATTATAGCATTGTTTAAAGTTTTCTTTTATATTTAGCCTAAGGTTCTGTATAGCCTCATTATTATCTGAACTTTTCATTTTGTTGGTGTTTGCAATATCAACTGGCCTTGTTTCTTGCAAGCAGCTTATGGCCTTGAGTTTGCTCGCATGATATTTCTTTCCTTTTTCTATCACTGTGAGAAGGTTTTCTAACACAACATAGTAACAGTTTTGTTACTAGCCCAAATTAACTGAACTTGGCACTAATCAGATGAATCAGAGGGATGAAATGATTATGATATGTTAATGAAAGGTGATAAAGGAGACCAATGGACAATGCTTAAAGAAAGACACCAGAAAAGGCCAAATTAAGACGTGTGCTCGTAATGGGGATGATGAACAAAGGAATATGCTGACAGGATAAAATATGCACAATATGCTGACTGCAGATAGACCAATCTAAAAGCAAGAAGTCGTCAAAGGAGTCAAGTTAAAGAAAAGCATAAGAGGGGGAAGCAAAAAAGTTAGTTGTCGTCGTCATCATCATTTACATCATGAATCCAGCTTTCAACACCTGTCTGGATCATCCCAGCCAACAACACACCCTTCGCTTCAGGAACTGAGTGGCTGTCTTTTCTGTGAGGCAAAGTAACATCTGGGATTGGGTGAGATCATTGCACTAAGTGTTTTTTCTCTCTCTGAATATAGAAAATGCTGAGATAATACTTGTTGTATTAATAAAGTTAGACTGATTTTAGGACACTGAGTTGTCTGTGTTCGTATTTCACGTTCCATTTAAGGGTTAATTGTGTTTTAACGATCCCTAAGCACTATATGCAGGTCAGTGGTGCAAACAATGCCACTTGACCCCCCCCCCCCCCACCAACGGAAAATATTCCCACCTTTTTTTTTTGTCAGTGGTGCAAACAATGCCACTTGACCCCCCCCCCCCGAACTAGGAAATTTACTCCCATTATTTTAATATTTAGGGTACAGCTATCCTAATATTTCATCTGTTTAACTGAATATGGCATTCATCCTACAGACACTGACATGTCCTTAGTAACTTTACGCATCTACGTAGTCCTACTAAATATTGTTCATTTTGAGCAGTGAGCCAAGGTAATATTTTTAGGGGGAGTTCCACATTTAAAATAAGGAAAATATATCTAGCAGTTTGTTTTAAAAACACTGGTGGTTGTCTGAAGTAGCTCAGAGGTTTGGAATGCTACATGTAGTGCTGACTGAGATGGACTAGCAATAAGAGTGCAAGAAAGATGTTCAAAGGCACAAAGTAAGACTATAGTGCAAGCACAGATATTTTCACTATTTGATTATGTATGTAAAAGCAATATATGACAGGGCAACATAAAGGTTTTATCATTACAAATTTGTGATGACTGTAATGTTCACATGTGGCAAATATGAGCGTGATTACCATGACTAATATAAGCATAATCACTAACACTATTCTAAGGACAGAAGAGCCTTTCAAAAACATTTCCTGGAATAATATTGTGCATCTTTCTGTAAAGTTTTAATCATCATAAGTCCAATTTTGCAGGGCTGAGAGGGAGAGAAAAATCTAATCTAATAAATCGAAGACATATTTAAAATAATTTAAAATAGATTTCAATTATATAAAAAAGAGATAGTGGTTTTAAAATCTGCTGTGTCTGATCCTTTAGGAGACTAGGAATTTTCTTTTCCTAATGAAGTGAAACTTTGAACCCTGCAGAGTTGTAAAATTACCTGAAAGCTATGAACAAAACAAAGACTTATTTATAGAAAACTGTAAGAGGCCCAGGAACAAAAATGACTTCAGCAGGTAGAATATTCAGTGGTGGTACTGGGAACCCACTTTTAGCAATATAAGCATTTCTCTGGAGTGTTACTTTTTTGTGTGGTAGGTAGCAGAAGCTACTTATAGGTTTGGAATAAATCCTCTGGTACAGAATGGACAGATCCAGTAATGTGGTCCACTGTAAGATATTGCCAAACAAATCCTGCTTCCCAAAATTGTCAGAAATAAATATGTTCCACCCCTCTACCATCTGTTATAAGAATTTTACCTTAACTTACATTTTTTTTTTGCCAAATGCAGAGGGTTACTGGCTATAATACAGTCCTCTGAGGCTAAAGCCATCAAAGGTACATAACTTATGGGAATATCATTGAACAACAAACAAGTATTATAACTGACATTCCAAGGAATACATAGATAGTGAAAGTGGAAAAAGGACTAATGAGAAAGCTTATCTGTAATCCAAAGCAAGAAAAAAAAAACCATACCTGTTCTGCAATCTGTTATACTTAAGTCAACTCTTTCATAATAGCATGCAAATACCTTATATGCACTTGCATTAACAAACACAGGAACACAGACTGGAAGAGGCCTGCTGGGCCATGGTCAGCTATATTTAGATAAGATTTTCCATGTTCAGACTAAAATGCAAGAATCACATGAGCAAGCACCAAAGATATTTAATCCTTTATCAAAAACAGAGGGAAATATTTAAAAAAATTAAGAAACTTACTTAGTCCAGTAATGATTGGGCCATTCCCTGTGGGACTCTGGCCACCAGTCCCTACTCCTGCTCCTCCTATGCCAGGTGAGAAGCCATTGCCACCAGGAATAGGAATGAATCCAGTTCCTCCTGCGCCATAGCCATTCCCATTTCCACCAGGAAGGAATCCATTTCCTCCTATTCCACCAGCTCTGGAACCACCTCCAACTGGAATTCCATCTATGCAAAGTCTGCGGTATTCATCTACCAAAAACGCACAAAAGACACAGAGTTAACCAAACTTTTATGAAAAATAACATGTAGAGAAATACAGATCTCTGTTTCCTCTGGAAAAAACAAAGTAACAATCCTTCATTTTTTCAAAAACTACTGGGCATGTCTACATGTGCTGTTAATTTGAAGTGCGCTCTATGGTGCAGTAAAAATACTATGCTATAAGCCTACTAGGGAGTACATCTATAATCCGCTCCTAAGAGGGAGCATGTCTGCTCCCAATGGGAGTAGTCTGGTACAGGGCTGCTCCCCTGGGTGTTGGCCATGGGAACGACAGGGAATATGGGCCCAGGAGAGCTCTGCTTGCTGCAGCGGCAGCTGTCTCCTGGCCCCACACACATCAGATGTCCTGTCTATTTGAAACATTCAAATACCATGGGTCCCAAGGCCCACTCGCCTAACTAGTTGCCCCTATTGTATGGGGGCGAATGGGTGAGTGCTACAACAAAGGCAAAAAACAGGACAGGAGTGACAGTTACCAGCTAGCTCTGGGCTGTATGTGCAGACTTCACCACACAGCTCGGGACTGGCTGGGAACTATTCTGTTCTGGGGCAGGTCCCAGTCAGCTCCAGGCTGGATGGGGAACTCTCCTCATGCAGGGAGTTCCTGGCCCCAGTTTCATGATCAGAGCAGGGGCTGGGACATTACCCTCTGCTCGAGCCCAGGAGCTTCCTGCTGCTAGGGCAGGCTCCGAGCATGAAGCCTGGGCTGGGACAATGTCCCCCTGTCCCAGCAGCAGGCAACTCCTGGCCCCAGCTCTGCGATCAGAGTTGGGGCTAGGACACTGCTCCCTGTCCCCAAGAGCTGCCTGCTGCTGAGGAAATGCCAAAGTTTAAAAAATATATTTTAACTCCTGTATCCTTCAGAGATCTTGGGATAGGTAAACTGAAAATATTTTTTTGCTATGGATGGGGAAAGTCACTATGTGAGTATAATACAGAGAGACTAAATGAACTACTGATGTGGTGTGTTTTGCTAGTTCAAAGTAACATGAAAAGCTATGGAAAGAGAAAGCAGCTGTTCCTTTAAACTGAAATGAACTATAGACCCTCAGAATCATTTCCTCTTTGAGCTTGACCACAAAATCTGCCCCAGTTCCCAAGAGCTACTTCCAATATCAACAACAAGAAGTTATAGAAACTGGTTCTAAATAATAATGGACCAGAAAAAATGGTTCACAGATGAAAGCATCCAGATTAAAAACATAAGAATGAATAATTATATAAAACTTGACTTTTCTCCTTCACCTGAATTATAAAGCAATTTAAAACATGTCCAATGACCTCTTAGGCCATTCAGGATGGGCAGGAAAAAAAAAACACTTACCAGATCCTCTAACAGGACACATCTCTGGAACAGATCCAACGGCCCAGCATCGACCAGATTCACAGCAGCACTGCATTTTGGTAAACCTACCAGGAAGCTCTTGTGCACAGCGACCATTCACCAAGCTGGAGAAACATGTGCCTGCTCTCTGATCTGGACATCAATTTAAAAAAAAAAAAAGACCAAAACCACTAACATAAACTGAAGGTCAGGAATAGTTCTCTCTATCATACAGATGTTAGGAATATTAGCAAAGAAACACCAAAAAGATTATTAAAAACAAATTGAAATGCAGTCAGCTCTACTACTGTTTCAAGTACACTAATCTTGCATTAATTCAAAATGTAATCATCAAACTCATCTTTTTTTCTCATAGCTTTGAAAACGATAAAACCCTTTATAGGTACTTGTATTTAACCTCTATTAGCCAAAATGTGACAAAGACTGTGAGGCCAACACTGGAACATAAGGAAGAGTGAAGAACCTCCTACTCTCCCACATATACACCTGCACAGCCTCCTCAGACCATGGGTCTGGGTTGTTAGGGTAAGCATATGCTGTACGCATGCCATTCCCCTACTATAACATATATGTAGAATGGTACAGCCTTGGATTCATTCTCTAGAAGTCCTGGATAGGAAGTAATAGTATACCATATTTTGGAGTCTCCAAAGCTGGATTCCTTGCTATGCTGCTCCTGGGACAACTAAACTGCTGTCCTTTACAAAGAGATGAAAACTGCAGATGCATAATCGAGCCCAATATCAGGCCTATGTAACAATGGGAGCATCTACAAGTACATTAAGGTGCTTTTCCTAATGCACATTAAATGTAGTAACTACAATGTGAGGCACTAAACAAATCCACATGAGGCTGCTTTAATATGCAGTAATGAATGCCCATGGTTTTTAAGTGATGCTTAATGCACAGTAGCCTATTTTACTGAGCATTAGCATAATCACTTTTTTTACATGATGCTTTAATGTGCAGTAAAATAAGCTACTGCACATTAAAGCACATATGCAGATGCACTTACCAGGTGGGGTAGCATAGCACAAGCCTTATGTGCTGCCTAAATCGGGGTATGTACAAAATGGAGCTAAGGGATCAGCTCACCCTCCTGTCCCCTGCCCCTACTTCCCTTTCCTCCTGTACCTGCACCTTCCCTGAAGTGATTCTCTCCTCAGCTTGAGCAGTGAGAGGGCAGAGAAGTGACTGAGGTGTACAGTAGGAGATTTGCTGCTGCTGGGAGAGATGATGCCTCCTTTTTTGCCGCTGAAAACTGATGAGTTTTGGTTGCTTGATGTGCATGTTGGTGGCAAAAAGGGAAGACCTTTCACCCCCAGCAGCAGAGGATCTCTGCCATTGCAGCATGTGCCACTGCTGCTCAGAATATAATACTGACCAATTATGCTTCTGCCCAATAATGCTGCTGAAATCAGTGGGACTGAAATCAAAGGAAGGTATTACTCAACTTTGGGTAAGAGCAGCAGGACAGGACCACAGGAAAAAAATGAATAAAACCAAAATCTGTTATGAGCTACTAAAAATTTGAGATGGTCTACTTTGGTATTATACTATCAGTAAGTGGATAGACAATTTATTTTAATGTAAGTAGAAAAATATTTCCTTTTTAAAAAAGACAAAAATAGATATATTTCCTGCTCAGTGTTTTAAGGAATTAAGCTGAATCAACTGATTTGTAATATTAACATCATTATATTATTTTCCCATTAAGCTATTTTGGTTTGAAGATCAAGATGTTTACAGAAAATTTTCAAGACTAAGCATCTAAATTATATACAATAGACTTATCCAACCCTTCTTGCTTTACTCATACCAAAATGTTTGGTTAACAAATCCTGTGCATGGACTGGGTAGGATCAACCCTACCTAAGAGTTGGTGTGTTCCAATAATTAGACATGAGGCACTTTAGCTTAGACATTAGACACTTAAGCTTTTTGTGCCAAATGGTTTATAGTATAACTTAAAAAAATGTGGCCTTTATTACACAATATAGGACACTTATATAATAATTCAATATCTGCCACTTATACCCTTCCTGAGCAGTCTCTATTCCAGGGGCAGGCAAATATTTTGTGTGAAAGGCCACTTACCAAGCTTTGGCGAGCTGTTGAGGGCCGCAAGGGTAGCCCTGCCGCCCCCAGTCACCATATTAGACTGGAAGTCCCACCCCCTAACCCCTGACCTTTGCCACTGGAAGTCTCTTTCCTTGCCCTGGAAGTGCTTCTTTTGGGAGGGAGGGTGCTGCAATCTTGAAACCAGGAAAAACTCAAATCACATACCAAAAAAAAAAAAAAAATCTACTGTAATTTAATTTTATTTAAAAATATTTTTGTACCGATTTATATGCTTGCAAAGTATATCTAAAGGTGAGTGCAAAATAGCTCAAAATACAGTCCTACTGGGAATGTATGTGCGGGGTATGTTTGGGGAGTGTGTGGGGGTATGTGGTAAGGTGTGGGAGGGTGTGTAGTGTGTGGGTATGGTGGGTGGGTGTGGACTATGTGGCTGGGGTGGGGGATGTGGGAGGGTGTGGGGTTATGGTGAGTGGGAGAGAAAGGGAGAGATGGGGCCAGGCTGCTGACTCCATCGCGTGCAGCTCTCACAGATTATGTGCGAGTCTCACGTGACCCCGCACCCAGGCTCCACTCCTGCCACCCCACCCTGGGTCTCTGCCCACCCCAGGGCACTGGCATGGGCTCCAGACTTGCCCGCAGCCACCACTCCCCTGCTGTTTCCTTGCTTTCCCTCCTGCACACCCGCCCCACCACTCCCTGCACCGCCACTGTTTCCCGCTCTGGCTCCAGCCCAGCTGGGCCAGCACCACACAGCTCCTGGCTGCTGGGCTGATTGCAGCGATTTTCCCACCTGGCTCCATCTGATCTTATCTGCATTTCCTCTCCAACAGAGCGAAGAAGGGTTGTGGCCAGAACCCCAACTGGCCTTCCAGTTGGGGGCCAGATCAAATTTTTAGGGGCCCCACAGGCTAGACAGAATGGCCTGGCAGGCTGAATCTGGCCCGTGGGCCATGTTTTGCCTGTCCCTGCTCTATTCTATGAGCAGCCCAATAGGACTATTTGCAGTGAAAAGTACTATTCACTACGAGTAAGGGCAAGTGAACTAGCCATTATAACTTTTGGAGTTTTTTTAATCAGACTTGGCATGAAAACCAAAGAAATGAATGCATAGGAAATGATGAATGCATGGAGCATTAGACAACCTGAAACCTAAACAAAACCTGAAACCTAAACAAAATTGTATGTTAGCAAGCGATGTACCAGTGTTTACGTTACTTCAAAAAGTAGATCTCGGTTCCTTTTCTATGACACTCCCAAATATTGATTCTACAGAATTACTGAGCTAATTGACTGGAAGGACTAACTACAATGCTAACTATCTTGGTACTTCAATTAATACAAACATCATGGAACTTAATCACCCAAATTGTTTGTGTAGCATTAAATGTTCATTTTAAATTGACAAGAAAATGGAAAATTTAATTTAGAAGGCAGCCATTTTGCCTTCAATTTATTTTGTACCTGGATATTGCAAGTAAATCATGCCCCAATTCTGTAAACCCTGAAGAATGTGAAAAAAATTGCATTTGTGGGATTACATGAATGCTTTATATCCATATGTTATATGGTTGCAGCACTAGAATTTTAATATGCAACACCAAGCACTATTCAGAACTTCTTCCACTATGTACTAGGCAAAAAATGAAAAGGTGAAAGGTATTGTACAGCAGAACAGTTTCATTGATTAAGTGATTAGTCTGTTTTCTCATGTTTGCACAAGAATCTAGGGTCCTGAATATAGATCTTTAACAACAAATCTGAAGAAATATTACAAACTGATATCCCTTCACTGAGTTTCACCAGCTCTTACCTATTGGTGATGCATAAGGGGTGCACCAACACTGTTGGTGGTGTCTGCAGGAGGTTGGCACTCGCCACCCCACCCCCGCTGGCGTCTGCAGGTGGTCAGCAATCGCCGGTGGCTGCCGCCACCGCTGCTGCCAGTAGCATCTGTGGGGGGGTGGTGGACCCT